AACCTGTTACAAAAGACAAATTTTGTGGGGATGATTAAGAAACACAGGTTGTGATCTAGTTGAAGGATCTAGGCATTCCAGAACCTACACAAGTTCTCTACCCTAGGCTTTTAAGATTAATAAAAATGTTCTGACACAAAGATGTTCCAATTCATAAAACCATTCAGACCTAACCTCATTACACACCACAGAATTCAGAATCGAATTACTGTTACAAAGTCCTAACAAACAATACGACCCAATCCCAAATTTCACGAGTTCTAATAATTCTGACATACTAAATGTGACAATTCAGAATCTACAAACACAAAGTACTACTTTTATGTTAACACCACTATGATTTAACTTTAAACAATTGTAAATAAAGTGATCCTAAAGGATGGCTGAGAATTTTATCTAAGAACATGGGCTCACTCCACACTTATCAAGGACTATGAACTGCCAACAAATACTACTAATGACTAGTGATACGTTCCGAAGCCTTTACAATGCTATATACACGATCATATTTCAGCCACTGTCATTGCTTATGTGAAATTTGTATAAAAAGAAATTCATGCTGTAACCATTACCAAAGTTTGTAGGACACAAACCTTTGTTCTGAACGATGGATGACATTATACACAGGACCACTGAAATCTTCCATAACAAAGACTGTATCCCATGAGCCATCATTTATAAATTCTGCTCCAGTTGCAGAAGATACAATGGGTACATCAAAAACCTTAAAAAAATAATGGAAAAAATTATATTGTGCAAGTATAAGAGACATTAGCCAGCTGTTAATATTTTAAAACCTTGCACACCGTGCAGTGTATTGATATAAAAAATCATGCATACAAAACAAAACTTCGTTTTGACCACTCGAGGTCGAAATGCATTTGGCACAAAGTGTTATTTAATGTGTAAACAGCGATATAAAAAATCATGAATACAAAACAAAACATCGTTTCGACCACTCGAGGTCGAGATGCATTTGGCACAAAGTGTTATTTAATGTGTAAACAGTTTGGTTTGTATGCATGATTTTATGTCTTAATATTTTGTTCTGAAATTCAATAGTTGATCTCTCCAAGTATGTAATGTAATCACCACTGTGACATTCTCACACACAGTTGGTACAAAACGTTTTAGCCAGTGGAGCTGGCGGCCAGGCTTACCGCGTGCCACATGGCAAGGGAAGGCTAATTGTTTTGTCCGTCAATCCGAGAAGGCCCTTTGTGCACAATGTTTCTTTAACAGTACTGTCAGTAGCAAATAACAAGTAGACTAGTGTTAAGTGAGAGAAGTGGGTTTTGTTAATTATTCCACGAACACTTTAAAATCAGATTCTTTGATGTAAGAACACACACATTAAATGTTTATAAATGTATACAATTATATGAAGAAAGAAGCTCCGGAGGCAGGAGAAGGGCGTAACTGGCTGCTTCAAGTGCAGAGCGGAAAAGGCAACAGAAGTTTCCGAAAGGACAGTTAGAAGAATTTTATGAGAACAGAAAATGCATGAAGTGCAAGGAACTTCATTCAGCACACCTGGCAAGAAACACACACACTGCTAAAATGTGTAACAGACATGTATGATTTTGTTAAGTGTGTCATTCAGCCCACAATTCAAGAATTTTATGTGGAAGAGAAAACATCACAAACTATCCCTAATCTACTTCTGAAACTGATGGACAGGATAAATTTCAAAGGCAGCAGCACTAACATTAGATGAATTGTGAAGGAACTTGGATTTTGATGGGAGAAAACAAGAAAAAATATGGTAGTCTTGATCAAGAAACATAATGTAACATGTATGCGAATGGGCACATTGCATTTGCTTGTTGCAAATATTGCAACATTTACAACATTTAGGACAGATAACATTAAACATCGCTGCGAGCAGCGTTTCAATTAAACTGTAGAACAGTGTTTGTGAACATGTAGCCAAACTATTAAGACAGTTTTACGAATGAGAAGGTTTAATAGAAGAGATGTCTGAAAGCATAATAATAACAATGGAATGATGAGCAGTAACACTAGCAGCAACAGTGAATCTGTGTAATGTCAGGGTAAAAGTAGAATTAGAATATGATATGTAGTAATTATTATTACTATCATCATCAAACAATTTCTTACAAACTGCTTTTAAAGATTATCACCACCTACTACGGAAGCATACATCAGGTCCAGTTTTCTTTGTAAAAACTATGTTTCCTAGACGCAGATGACAAAAACATTGTACAACTTACTAGCTCCTAGCATTCCGTTTGAATGTTTCACCAGCAAAAAACTATTGTGGCCACTACAGTGAGAAGGGGTGGAGGGTTGAATACTAATTACTAACCCTATATACATAATCGAATGTTACGGATATAAAATATAATTACCTGAGCTGCTTCGATAATTCTTGAATCATCACCAAGTTCTCCAACAAGGCAAATTCGAGACCGAACTGTTGCCAAAGTAGGTGAACCTGAAAGCATTTGGTGGCCGTAGAAAAACACCAGCGTTGACATAACCTTAAATGCAAACTTCATAAATTCTTAATAACACTATTCCTGAAGTCAGTTACATTATAAAAAGGTGTATCAAAATAAACACATCACTTACACCTACTTTCATTACATCCTGTGTTATTGTTAATAATACTTGTCATTTCGGGCTCGGCGAGACAAACGTATGTCTCATCCATCTTGATTGCTACTACTTTTGAAACAATATGTAAATCAATTCAAATTATTGTTAATATTCCTAAAACTGTTCCCAAGATACTGTTACCATTAAACAAGTTAACATACTTTCTTTTATCCTTACGAAGGAGGACATTCCTCTTTTTCTTATGAGTGTTGGAAAATTATTCATTCATGTGACAATGAATTTACTTATTTGGAGAGACTACAAAGGTTGAAGATCAGCTAAACATTTGGAAGCACCCGCCTCCATTGTGTTATAGCCCTATGAAGTATAGATGGCAGGCGAAGAATGTTGCCTGTAGTTACCGATCCGCATGCTGGTAGTTGTAGTAGATTGGTATAATCCAAGTTATGATTCTATCTAATGCATGCAAGTAGACGTGCTTGTGGTGCGAAAGGTAAAATGAGATTACGCACTGGTGGTGCAGCTGTTGGTGATGTGACGCTAGATTATCTTCCACAGTCTACATGAATTAACTCACGAAAGGTTAAAAATAAAAGTAACTAACTAGATGGCTTAAGGTACTGATTTTTAGCTTACTTGAATTAACGTTAAAATAAGTTGCATGAATGGAATCAAGCTTATTTTGAATAACCTTCGCTACAGCATTATCAAAACGTCACTATAAAATGATCATACGTGACGTCATGCGCAACAAAATTCAATTTTCGTCCTCCATATGGCGAGATGTTACTTTTCCGGTTAGGAGTGTGGTTAGGGTGTATTGTGTTGTATTTTACAGAGGCTTCTATTAGCTGTGTTAGAGGTAACTCCAATATAGTATCGTCATATATATATATATTTATATGTATATTTATTTAACATTTTTGTTTAAAATGCAGTGTTCCTCACATTACAAAGAATAATATTTAGGAATTTAATATTTTCCGGCTTTACTTTACCGTAATACTGTATTTTTCAGATGTGTCTGTAAATAGCTGTTAAAACTATGTATATAATGTATTGAATTTGTATTAAAACATATTCTTCATCCTTGTCTTAGGCCTATGAAGGATGAAGTTTTATGTTTTTCAGTGCAAATTTGCAAAGTTTTATTTTTTGTACTTTAAAGGTTCAGGATACGACAAATTTTAGTGCACCATCAGGTATCTTCTTATATGCATTAGTTTCATTGAGATATACCTGTTTGGAGATACAAATATTTTTCTGTGTTAATACCACTATGAAGTGTAGAAAGATCTACATCCCACAAGTTTTAGTATTATATATCCTCAAAACAGCTGGATTATTGTGCGCAGTATTTTGCAGTTTTAGTTTGGTCATAGCAGTCTATGAATAAACCAGTTTTCATTAAAATAAAAAATTTAGCTCACTGTGTTGTTGAATTGACAGTGGTGCTGCACCAGATGCTTACTATCCATTGCCATTGATTTTCCACAAACCAGGAATGCATGTTCCTCAGATTGACTTGCCCGTGGTTTGTGAAGGAACCATCTTCAGTAAACAGAACAATTCAGAGCTTAAAGTATTATTATTCTGCAACTGATAAAGGCTTGATTTCCTTCTGTGGGAAAGGACCTACAGGACCAAAGTGCACACACTGGTGCAACTCTTTCACCAGACTATGGATGCTGCTATGTGGTACATACAAGAACACCTGAATTGATTCAGCAGGCAGCAAACTCTTGTTTGGCATGAGCAAGGCTGTGCATTGAAAACTATGGTTGACAGGTTGAACAGTTCTAAGATATTTTCTGATAAATATTCTTCTTTATTTTTTAAAACATTCACTTTGAAATTGCCATAACTCTTAAATGGTTGGGAATAAGACCATTTTTTACTCAAAATTACTTCCAGAATCACCTCCTATGTATAGCATACTGTTTGTGAAACATATATTTTAATATTTACATGTTTGAAATGTGTGCTAACCTTATTATGTAAATAAAATCAGCTACAGGCTGGAGAAGAAATGATGTGGGCCACAGGGAAAATTTCAGTTGATCACATGTGCATTACTGATTTAGACATTGGAAGCCTGTATAAGAGCCAGAGAGAGAGGTTAAGTGGGAAAGTGAAAGGCCTGTTTCACTTCGTGGGAGCTAGCCTGAATTTATTCACCACAGTCATTTACTTAGTTTTAAGAAAATATGTTAGTATCCGCATACGCATAGAACTTATCCTCATATACCACAGAGAATGAAGGATTCAACCATATGCAGCTGAATATGTGTAGAAAAAGATCGGGACTATTACTGCTCCAAAATAGTGTTTCAGGACTTTCTTATGCAATGTGAAAATTGAAATTATGTAATTTATATTAGTTACTGATCTGGCGTTTCTTTCAAGATGAGCTTTGAAGAGCACGATACAGAAGATCTTCAGCCACGGACTGCACCATGTCGTTCCTCATCATTTCAGGTACCAACATTTTAATTTCTTTGTAATAAACACAATTAAATATTTATAAAGTAATAGGATAAGATGTTGCAGAAGTTGTTATTAAAATTTTGAAGCTGTTCTTATGTTTTGTGTCAATGTTATCAGTTAGTGAATTACTGTACTGTACTGTACTGTTAATCTCTACTGTGATGAGTACATTTTGGGATTCAAGGGTTGCTTGTTAGATTATTACAGAATACTGCATTGTCTTAATGCATTCACTGTTCACATGGACGTAATGTCAGTTTAGTGGTAAGGCTTCATTTAAAGACAATCTGGTGTAATGTTAATTCATATTAGTTTTGTGGAGCATTTAAAAGAACAGCATATACCCAAATAGGCAGACTGAGCTACCAGTTCTTTCTGTGTCTCTGTTTATTAGTTAACTGATTGTATTTTTATAATCTGTTAAGATGTTACATTGTAACAAAAGACATTTTGAAGATTTATGAACACATTTGTCTTTTGTGTAAGTGCATTAAGTGTGGATATCTTTCACATTTAAAATGTAACAAAAATATTACAATGAATTTACCAAATATGAATGCCTTTGGGTCATATAGTAGTAAATATAGGGGAAAATTAGATACAGCCCCAAAAGATATTAAGCTCAAAGTGTACAATAATTTGATTGAACATACAGCATAAAAGGTGGAATAAAATTATAATTTTAAAGTCCCAGAGAAAGAGGTCCTTTTAATTCATCGTGACAAAAGTGGGAAGATAATATCCTTAAAGACCTTAAGAGAACTGAATTGAACTAAAGATAGGGTTTGTTGGTTGGCTTTGAGAATCTGATGAACCTTCAGGTTCTATGAAGGCAGAGATTTCTTGATTTGTTGTGTGTCGTAATATCTCCAGCTGCTACGTGGATCTGAAGGGGTAACCTAAATTCCAAATGTGGCACAAAATAACGAAGTGGAAATTAATTTATCTAACAACATGTACTGAAATTAAATAGTATA